CCCCCTAAAATCATCTTTTTTAAATGGGCATTCATTTCTTAAATGACCAGAGTACCTAACTGATGAAGCCAAATAACGGTTATTTTTTTCTCATTGAAAGATTTTGATGGATAAAACTAATATGTAATCGCTTATCTAGCCTTAAAATGAATGCAACTATCATTTTGAGAGCCCAAATTCAGTAATTATCCATTGATGAGAATGGCCACTTGGTGCCGTAAAGTTCAGCAGAGAGTACTGCTGAGAAAGTGAGCCCCACATTGTGAGCACTGCTTTGCTAGTGACGTCAGCGGCTGTTCGGAGTGCCTCTGCCCACGGACAGCATCCGATGCTCGCTACAGTGCTCTCCAATCCACTCTCTCTTTGGGCACTGCAAAGCCTGTTTTGGACACAGACGAGCTCAATATTATTTGTTGGGCTTGTTGGCCTGCAGACGAAGCTGCACAAGTGAAAGTGTGCCTCTGTTTTCTTGTGTGTGTGTGTTTGTGGACTACTCTTGATTAAACCTGATTTAGGTACAAGCTCAACCTTCGTTCCAAANTCAATATTATTTGTTGGGCTTGTTGGCCTGCAGACGAAGCTGCACAAGTGAAAGTGTGCCTCTGTTTTCTTGTGTGTGTGTGTTTGTGGACTACTCTTGATTAAACCTGATTTAGGTACAAGCTCAACCTTCGTTCCAAAAACTTCCAGCTGCATCCCAGATGACTCCCGAAGAAAGGAAGAGGTTCCTCGACTATGCGACCAGCATAGAAAGAGTGAAAAACGTAATTTTCACTCCTGATTTTTATTTGAACACAACTACATGTACCTTTTTCCTTTCACAGTATGGCTGGTACTGGGGCCCGATTAGCGGCGAAATGGCAGAAAAACTGCTGGAGGCGGAACCTTGTGGCTCCTTCATCGTCCGCGACAGCTCTGATGAGCACTACATATTCAGTATTACCTTCAAAGTGAACGGCATCGTGCGACATGTGCGCATTGAACACGATCAAGGTCAGTACAGGAGGAATCATTACAATCAATAAACATTGACCACTTCATTCTCTCTTTTACAGGCAACTTCAGCTTTGGCCCAATGCAAAAGTACCGCAGCAACACCATCGTCGACTTTATCGAGAGCGCCGTGGAGCACTCGAGGAGCGGACAGTTTCTCTTCTTCCTCCACCAGCTCAGCAATGATAATCCGCTGGAGGAGCCCGCGGTCCCGGTTCGCGTACAATTGCTCAATCCAATTTCCCGCTATCGCCAGGTGCAGTCGCTGCAGCACAACTGTCGGTAAGTACCTGCTCTAGAACGGTTACGTACTTTGCAAAAGTGGTCTTACACGGTCTTCTACTTGTCAGGTTCACCATACTGAAGCACGTCCGACGTGACCAGATCAAGCAACTGCCACTTCCTGACTACCTGCTGTCGTACCTCGACACGCCCTACTACTACTCCGAGGAGTTGGCCAATCTGCAGGAGTCGATGAAGCGTGCAAAGGACCGCAAGGAGGAAGACAGACGGCGGAAGGCGTGTTTGCGCACCGAGCAAATGGCACTGGTGACGAGGATGCTCATCAACCGAACCGATGCCGAGCGAAGGCCTCAAATAGGCCAACTGCCCACTGAGGGACTGCTCAGCGGGATCAGCAGCAAAAGCAACACTAACAGCAGGAACCACCGGCAGTGATTGCGCCAAACTGAAAACAAAAACATAACTCACTGTATTCTAGTCATTTTACAGGCGTTCTACTAACAAATAATAACTGGTTTTAAATCACAGCACTTTGGTTTTTTGGCTTTTGTGAGCACGTGAAAACTTGAACAACTAGTCACTATCGCTCCATCGATCTTCATGTAAATGGTTAGTGGCCGTTGTAGACTGTCTTGTGGTTTCACTTGGTCCGCTTTCTTCCCTAGCAATAGCTTCGTCTGCCTTACTGTTTCTTGGCCATTGCGCGATGATAACTTTGTTTAGAGAAGTGTACAGTATTGCCGGGTTGGGATCATCGCCGAACTGTGTTTTTCTGTATCCGATTACACGCTCAACCGGTCTCACCTCAACTTCGTTAATATTCTTTACACACTTTTCTGGTTGTGCGTCTCCTGTTTGCAGGTTATAGGCGAACAGATCAGGACCAGTGCGACCGTGATTCGGCACGTAGATGGAGTCCATAGTGGTAAAGAAGGAAAACTGATCGTGATTAGACTTCTTCATGGCGTTTCCTCTGCGGCCTGTATGGTGATAGTTGATGTTGCTGTCAATGAGAATGTCATCGCCGGACATTCCAAACTTCCATTTGGTAATGGTTGGAGTGCAAAAGCCATGAGAGGTCATTAGACAGGTGCTGTCAGGCGTCATCTCCATGTGGGTGACTGGAAGCAAATACCGATGATCGTCCGCCCGTTTTTGGCCTACTGGCCGTTTTAAGCGGCGAGTATCGTAGAAGAAAATGTCACCAATACTGTCGGCAATAAAGAGGCCAGTTCTGTCCAGTGGAGACCATAGGACGCGGGTAGTATTTCGGATTCCTTTGTGCTGTCTATCAGTATTCGCTGGGCCAGAAACGATAATAGAATTTGAGATGATGCCAGTACGAATGTCCATCAGTTTGACAGTTGGCGTTGAAGTGGCAACTATGCAAAATATCAAATTGTTAAGCTTTAAACNGATTCCTTTGTGCTGTCTATCAGTATTCGCTGGGCCAGAAACGATAATAGAATTTGAGATGATGCCAGTACGAATGTCCATCAGTTTGACAGTTGGCGTTGAAGTGGCAACTATGCAAAATATCAAATTGTTAAGCTTTTTTAAAAAAATAAAGCAGAAACTCATACTCGCAATTGCGTGAACGTCATTTTTGTTCCAATCAAAGTGGGAGTGATTATCTTCTCCTAGATCTTCATCGAAGATTATTTGAAACGTTTTAGTTTCTGTGAGTGAAATTCTTTTGGGTTGTAAATAGCAAATCATTCCAGAGTCGGTTGGAAACCTATTAAATAAGTCTATTAGCTCTTAAAAGTTTTTAAAAAGTGACACTTACCATTGTGAATGTTTATAAGGATGCATTGAAGATTGATGAACCAACCCCTTAAGATTAAAAGTTAACTCTGATTCAATAATCTGCCACAACTTCATTTCACAATTTGTTGATGTGTGAAGCAAACTAGTGAAAGGTAAATTATTTGTACATATTTACATTATTGAAAATCAAAACCAGTTCACCAAACTTACAATTTGTTATATGGATCAATTGAAATTGAAGAAACACTTCCTCTATCATGAAGATTACTTATTGATGTAAAGACGTCTATATACGAGCCATTGTAAAGACAATCTAAAATCTCTTTTCTTAGTGAAACTCGAAATGGATCAAGATATCGAGAATTGATAACATTCTGTAGAGATGACTGGCGGTTTGCTCCCCACAGATTCGCAGCTTTCTTCGAGTCACTTGGCTTGCTTTTGGACATTCTTTATCAAATTCTGACAAAAGAAACTTAAAAGATCTTCAAAAAAAGAATTTGTTTGAAAAAAATAAAAACAAACAATCATCGATACACAGTAGCGGGACAATCGATGGTTGACAGATTTGCTTTCTGAAAAAAGTTGCATTTAAAAGGTCAAGTCGAAGTCAAGAAAATTGATCGCTCTTCGCCGCCAAAGACAGTCATGGCAACTCAATTTGCTCGCATTGAAGACACCCTGGAGAAGCATCTTCCCCCTGAAGAACTAGCAGAAGTGCGACGTANACAGTCATGGCAACTCAATTTGCTCGCATTGAAGACACCCTGGAGAAGCATCTTTCCCCTGAAGAACTAGCGGAAGTGCGACGTATTCTCTACGGAGAAGAAACGCCGTAAGGAAACAGTGTTTGTTTGTCAAACTGTCATTTAATTTGTTCCGCTTGTCATCACTTTTGGGTAGTACCATTCAGTTCACTGAGGAGGCGATCAATCTCGCAAAGCAAAGGGACTTTGAACTTCGTGGATACCGTTTTCAGTGTCCTGCCGAGCAGACACGAATGCCGAGGATTGTCCGTGTGGGAATCATTCAAAATGCCATTGTCCGACCAACAACTGATCCCGTTGAAGAGCAACGTCGGGCAATTCACCACCGAGTGGCCGAAATACTGGAGGTGGCAGCTAAGGCCGGAGTGAATGTGATCTGTTTCCAGGAGGCTTGGAGTAAGTTTTGCCTTCTCCTTTTCTGCTTACTTTTCAGTTTTTCCTAATTGATCTGATCTGACCTCAGCTATGCCTTTTGCCTTTTGCACTCGAGAAAAGGCGCCATGGACCGAGTTGGCAGAGAGTGCTGAGCACGGACCAACCACAACTTTCCTGAAGACCGTAAGCTGAATTCTGCTGTCATGGCAGCTCAAAGCGTTACGATACTGTTCTTTTTCTCTCTGCAATAGCTTGCCGCCAAACACAATATGATCATCATATCGCCCATTCTTGAGCGCGACGATAGTGACGTTATGTGGAACACTGCTGTGGTGATCAACCAGACTGGTCAAGTGATTGGCAAGACTCGCAAGAATCACATACCTCGAGTGGGCGATTTCAATGAGGTAATGGGTGATTATGCGCTTTTTTGAAGTGCTTCTAACCCTCCGTTCCAGAGCACCTATTACATGGAGAGCACCCTGGGACACCCTGTTTTTGACACCAAGTTTGGCAAGATAGGCATCAACATCTGCTACGGTCGTCACCACCCGCAGAACTGGATGATGTTCGGCCTGAACGGCGCCGAGCTAGTCTTCAATCCGTCCGCCACTGTGGGCGGCCTCTCTGAGCCGCTCTGGTCCATTGAAGCTCGCTGTGCGGCAATCGCCAACTCCTTCTACACATTCGCCATCAACCGCGTTGGCACGGAGACCTTTCCCAATGAGTTCACCTCTGCTGACGGAAAACCGGCGCACAAGGATTTTGGCCACTTTTACGGCTCCAGCTACGCGACGGCGCCCAACGGCAGTCGCACGCCAGGACTGTCGCGCGTCAAAGACGGCCTCCTGGTGACGGAGCTCGATCTGAACCTCTGCAGACAGGTGAAAGACCACTGGGGAATTCGGGTAAGTCACTGAAACGGTGTACCCCTTCGGGTTTTACTGTTATTGTAATATTTACAGATGACTCAACGTTTGGAGATGTATGGTGAAAAGTTCACCAAGGCGGCAAAGCCTGACTACAAGCCAGAGATCATCAACGGTAACTGAACGCTCTCTCAAAGGCACCTTCCAAAATAATACGCCCCTGAACCACAAAGTTGATCTGAATTGCTGAAGTGTGTGTGTGTCTGTCTGTCTACTGTTGCTTAGAAGTGGACACGTTTTTGCTCTTTGCCTGACTGCTGGCCACTGGCGACCCCTGCATTTTCTGTGATCTTTTAGGAGGAGGAGGAGCAGCAGCAGCAGCAGCAGCAGAATAGTAGGTTTCTGCATCAGCAGCTTCTGCAGATGCGTCGTCGTCATCCTTGCTGCACAGGCCACAACAGGAGAAGATCCACCAGATGAAGCCGGTGATGTCCAGGCCTGTGTCCGGCGGTTTCGGTTTGGGCGGCAGGCGCACCACCACCTCTGGCTCCATCTCCAGTTCCTCCGGTTTCGGTGGAGGCGTTGTGGTGTTGCCCCTCTTCGTGGAGGCAATCCCAGTAGAGACGGGCGTCTCGGTGGGCGGAGCCGCTTTGCTGGCTGAGGCTGAAGCGGCCTTCTTTCTCCGCGACTTGCTCTTTCGCCTCGCCTGTGAGTGGGAGCCTCGTTTGGAGGCCTTCACCGAGGAGCGCTTCGAGCCCTTTGAGGTGCTCTTCGGCCGCAGGGGCCCTGGCTTCTTCTTCGCCGGAGCATCTCGGTCGGCCTTTGTTTTGGCGTTGCAGACGGAGCGAATGCTCTTCCGGGTGGTCGCTCTCAGGTCCACACTGTCGCCGACCTTCTTCATGTGAAAGATCTCCTTGTAATCGGAAGGTCCCATCATCTGCGTGTCCCCCGGTGGGAAGTCACAGCGCTTTGTGCGCGAGGGTCGCTTCAGTGTGGGCATTTTGTGACTGTCAGTTTGTGCCGTCAGCTACTTAGAAAGGTATAAAGGTACTAGAAGTTTGTTGAGTAGAAGTGTTCACTTTAATATAACAGTTGGCAGTTTTCTCCACTATGTACAGAACAGGCTACAACACAGCTATTGTTGTGTTTAGTTCACTTTTTGCCTTTGTCAAGCTTCTCCAGAATGTTATCATCACTTAGTAGCTCATTCGCGTCGAGCTGTTCCAGATTAGGCACCGCCTCTTTGTCGCCTGATTCATCCGAAATGGAGGCATTGATCAGCGCCAAATCAACCGGAACAACGTTTAGTTTCAGCTCACGAGGACTAAGGCGTTTCTGATTTACCTTGGTGCCAAACTTGGTTGGCTGATTGAAGACTCG